GCGGCGACGGACAAGCTAACGGTTTATGAGTGAGGTGTGAGGGACATAAAATGTTTATCTACAGCACATGTGGGTAACTATTTACTTAGTGGATGTAGGAATCTTTAAAAGAAAAGTTTAAATTTAAATAAATTTATTGGAAGTTATATCAATGTTGTCTTATGTAGAAATTTTATATCATATTATATCATTACCTACCAGGTAATTTTTAATAAGTAATTTCGCCTCTTCTTAGATCATCTATGCGTAATCATATGCTAGAATTGTGTTCTGCTCCACCTTATTGGTAACCCTTGGTGCAATCTGCTTTATACTTTAGTCAGAGATTTGAAGTAGATTGATACAATTTTACTCAAATGTACGTTATGTCTGCTGGACTTTTGGTATTGAAAATGGACCATGTAAGTCCACGTTTTGGTATAGCCCCCATATAACGGTACCTCCCGATATTCGGTATTTTAATTATTTTAGCGACATTATTCATCGGAATTGTTTCAAACTTGGTATTTGAAGTTCGTAATGGATACTACAGCCTAAGACAGAAAATTGTCTGTGCAGGTCAACGTCTTCCTAGAGCCCCCATATAACGGTAACTCCCGATATTCGGTATTTTGATGATTTTAGCGACATTTTCACCGGAATTGTTTCAAATTTGGTATTTGAAGTTCGTAATGGATACTCCAGCCTAAGACCTAAGCCCAGCCTAAGACAGTAAATTGTCTGTGCTAATCCACGTCTTCGTATAGCCCCCATATAACGGTACCTCCCGATATTCGGTATTTTGATGATTTTATCTACATTATTACCGATTTTTTTTTAAGTTTCGTATTTGAATATTGTAATGGCTTATGACAAATGTTACCTTTGCAGGTCCATGTGGTCGTATAGACACTAATATGACAGCTACATTCGGTATTTTTAAGATTTTAACAGAATTTTTAAAGGATGTAATTGTTTTTGAGAATTGCCGAATTCGTTCCAAACGGTGAAGGGTATTCAAAGTTCGGCCCTGCCGACTTACAGCTTTTTACTTGTCTGTCTTAGGCTGTAGTAACCATTTTGAACTTCAAATACCAATACCATTTACGAACTTAACCTGCCTACTTGAAAAATAAACAGGTGTGCAAAATTTTAGCCTTCTATCTCAATTCGTTCGGAAGATACAGTGATTACAACAGACAGACAGACGGACAGGCAGGCAGACGGACATCGCTAAATCGACCTAGAATTTTAGTCTGATCAAGAATTTATATACTTTGTTGGGTACTTCGAGGAGTTACAGACGGAATGACAAAGTTAATATTCTATAGAAGGGCTTTTTATAATTTCTCAAGTATTCTAGAATTGTCCTTCCATCCTCTGTATGTCCTTCCAATTTATATTCGCCGAGAAACATGTTACATTTTTATCCTTGTCTAAATTTTGATAAAGCCACCTAAGCGTTGGCTTTAGAATGTGGGATATGGATGTTAAAAATTTTATGAAAATCTTTTGACATTCTTTTCGTCATTTTTAAACATTTTGTAATAGTTATTCGTATGCCATTTGATACTAATCCTAAATACAGTTCATTGTAAAATGACCTCGTAAAAATGTTTGTTACTTTTCAATTGGTCTCGTAAACTTGCCCACTAGACTTACTTTGATGCCTTATTATCCTATTAACATATTTGTTAAAATCCCCTATGTAATAACGTGGAATTAACATATTTACATCCATACTCTCAAATGATTTGAGTTTTATATCAAGAGCTTTAAGCTTTCTGTGTTGAGTACAACTTTGGCAGAGAGCTAAGAGTTTATAACAATTTTGCATTGTTAAATACATTTGATTTTTAGAGGTTTCAATACGAAATACGGTGCGGTGTGCTCATCTAAATTCCCACAAAAACTAGAGTTTACCATCATAAGAAAAAAATGTTTTTCGGAATTAAGTTTCAGCATTTTAGTTTTTTTTTTTCTTGAAAACGCTTAGTTTTTCAAAGAGTGAGGGATTTTCAAACTTCTAACTCTATACTTAAAGCGCGTATATGTCTATTAATTGATTAATTGCAATAGAAATGATACAAAAATGATAAAATGCGTTTTAATATGCGATTTTTTCAAAAACATTTTTTACAGAATTTCTTGCCTTCGTATCTGCCGATCTAATATACCGATTTTCACGCTCCAAAGCTTATAAAACTTAAAACTCAGGATGTAAAACAAATAATTTTACGTGGGTTTCCACTGCAAATTATTGGCAGTAGCAAATTTTTTATTTAAAAAACCTACTTCTTTCAAAAATTTGCCGCGGTCTTATAATAACACTGTGCATCACAAAAGATAATTTCGGGGGAATCCAGCAGATTATGACAGTAGAGCTAAACAAGTAAAAAAGAAGCTAGGCGGGCCGAATTTTTAATTCCCTTCCATATGGAAGAAACTTTACAATTTTAAAAAAATTCCAAAAAATACTGCTTATATGAAAACCGTAATATAGGGCTATACCAAGACGTGAACCTGCTTAAGCAATTTTTTGCCACAGGCTGTAGTACCAATTAAGATCTCCAAATACGAATTTCCGGTGAATAATGTAGCTAAAATCATCAAAATACTGAATAAAGGGACTTAAGGTTATATGGGGGCTATACGAAGACGTGTAACTGCTTACGAAAGTTTTTGTCATAGGCTGTAGTACCCAATACGAACTTTTAATACAAAATTTAAACAATTCCGGTGAATAATAATAATTTTTTTTTTTAAATACGGACCTCGCTAAATCGACTTAGAATTTTACGCTGATGCAGAATATATATACTTTGTAGGGTCTATTGTGAGTATTTCGAGGAGTTACAAATAGAATGACAAAGTTAATATACCTCTCATAGCGTAGCGGCGTTTTAAAAGTTTCCAACGTAGATATCTTATCCTAATCTAGAAGGCTAGTTTTCCCTCGTCATACTTTTATAAATTTTCGGATAAAGATTCCTCGAAATCCGTGCATTAACATGTTAAGCAATATTGCTGATAGAAATGTGAGCAATATTTTTATACCCTACACCACAAGGTGGTCAGGGTATTAGTCTTTGTGCATTTGTTTATAACATGCAAAAGGAAACAAGATAGACCCATAGTTACTTTTGATGATCTGCATAGAATCACATTCTGAGTCGATGTATTTTTGTAAACAAAGTACATTGATCATTGATATTGAAATTGGAGATAATCGGTCAAAATTTGTATGTAGCTCCCATACATATCTTCGTCCGATTTGCCTTTTATTGTGCACCAAACGTGTAATATCAGGCCGAATGGATGGAATTTTGCACATACTACCAAATTAGGCCTGAAAATAAGTTTGCCCAAGTTGATCGAAATCGGTTCAGATATGGATATAGCTCCAGTATATATAATTTTCATCAGATTTGATATTTTTGTCCTCCGCAGCCGTAATATGTCCTCTGTAACAACAATATTTGGGGAAATATATCAAATACAACTCAGATATACATTTGCTAAATTTTATCTAGATCGAGTCAGATTTGGATATAGCTCCCATATATAACTTCGTCCGCTTTGCCTTTTATTGCGCCCCAAACGTGTAATATTAGCCTAAATGGGATGGAATTTGTCACATACGACCGATTTGAGCCTCCGTAACAACGATATTCAGGGAAATATATGAACTATAGCACAGAAATATCTTCGCCAATTTAATCGGAGATCGGCTCAGATTTGGATATAGCTCCCATATATGTCTTTATACGATTTCAAGTTAATTGTGCATCAAATAGGATATACAAGCCCGTGCTTGAAAGATACAAATGCTTCGGCATATTTAATCCTTTGAACTTTAAATTATAATTATAATCATAGCTTGTATGATTTAATTCTGCCATAAAAACTTTTAATTTTTATGTGAAGCTCTAGAAAAAGTGCAAAGTTGCGTAGGGTCTTTAAGTTTTTCTTTACTGGTTATCATATGTAAATGTTAACCATCAAGGGAGTCAACAGAGAAACTCAACATATTTTACAAAAACTATTGTCATAAAAGACCAAGAATTCTCAATGTAATTTTCATAAAAATCATTGCACCCAGATATATTGATTATTCTGAGATTTATATATATTACTTTCGAGGTCAACTCGAAAAAAGTCCCTAGAAAAATTTATAAAAAAAGGGAAGATTCTCGATTTGTTTTTGGATCATGATGCAAATATACAATGGAAAAAAAGGTTTCTTTTCTTTGGTGATTTATTGTAAAATTTGATGAAAAAGATGTTTGTCTTCAAGGTTACACTTCTAAAATGATGCTTTGCTGGATATTTTGCACAAACTCACACAAAGTATTGATTTAACCCTAAAATGTCTTTTAATATATATGAATTCCTGACATTAGTTAAGATTGAGACTCTTGACGTCTTCCAGTACAATTTTATAACAAAAAATGTTGCATAATATATTGAGTTATTACAATCCCGTTTAAAGGGATTTTTCAACTATATTTTTAAAAAGGTCCAAAAAGACTCGCTTGAGTGTTAAAATCTCCGACCAATATATTTCTCGCCGAAGATACTATATACCCTAAATGCTCAGATTCCGAGGAATCTTTTTTCGAATATTTCCAAGAGTGTGGAAGAGGGGGAACTTGTCCCCACTATTTAAATTACTTTCCGACTAGGTTACTCTTTTTATTTTAGCTCTGCTGTATTTTCACCGTAATTATTGTAAAGATTGAATTTTGTCGCACAGTGTAATCAACCCCTCGAAGTATACATAAAAACTGTGAAATCGCATGTCGTATATAATTAGAGCACTTTAGCTCAACAACACACATTGTTTAAATTTGTCATATCAATTTTGCCAGACTATAGGCAACCCTGCCTGAGAGCCATGGTGAATTCAAACAACTTTCACCACATTACTTCCATTGTTTGTCGCAAAAAAGCTTTTATTACTGCTCCCTAAGTTATGCTATGATTTTTGTACTTTCAGTATACATTACGAGTTCGTTCGGTTACGTTTGCCATTGTCCGATAAATTCAAAAACCCAGTTCCGGCCATGCGAAACGCGCGCTTAACAATAAAATTCATTGTATATCCATAAGAAGAAGCAACAAAGCAAAAAACAATAACAACAATAATAGAAGACACTTGAAGCTAATATTTTTCTTTTTTTGCTGTTGTTGTTGCTTTCTATACTTAAATCGCAAGTAAACGCGAGTAATCCAATAACAGCTACGCCTGTCAATGCCAATAATATTGGAATGAAAGGCAGAAGACGGCGGCGGCGGTGAACAAAAAATAGAAATTAATTTTATTTTTGAAAAAAAAAACCAAAAAAAAATCACCAACCCTCCCCCCGGGGACATTCAACAGCGGCCAAAAGCGGAAGAAAATAAACAATCCGAAACACTTTAATATTGATTCGCGAGGAAATCACACCCACTCACCTGGTGGTCGATTGACTGAAGGAATGCCGAATCCTATGAATACTTAATAATGGAAACAGCAAGCCATGTCTGATATGTAAGTGTAGTATGTATTGGTTTTGGGAGCAGTCAATAGAGTGGGTGCGGGGGACGTATTCCTCAATTTGTGTCGTCTTCTTCTTTGTTGTTGCCGTGAAACTTTAAATTGACAAAAGCCATCAAGGTTCCATTTTTGGTGGCTATATCCTTTAATTCCTCCCCCACCCAAAAGGTGGGTGTAACCCATCAATGTTGTTATTGCTGCTGCTGTTGTTGTAATATATCTGTGATAGACACTGCTTTCAATGTCTAGGTTAGGGTTTTTTAGTTTCCTCGTTTTTTTTGGTTTTTTGTTGGTGGAATTGTGTCGCGCTGCGGTTTCTGTCTATCCATTGGACAATGTCATTGGACGACGGAAAATGACGGAAATTTAATGAATTTTTTTGGTAGACATTTGTTTGATGACAAATATCATATTTGGATCTTAATGAGGTTTATGGTCTCTTGATGATTAACTTCGATAAGGAAAAGAGAACAAATTCGATTTTTTTTGTTGGTAGATTGTGTGAAAGAAAATCGTATTTTTATTATCATCAAATTACAATAAACCATATTATCCAGCCCAACATTATCGTCCCACAAGATTGTTTATAAACCACAACCATACATGGAGGTATGGAGAGTATATTATTTTTGTCATTCTATTTGTAACAAAAACCTATACATTTATATTCTGGAGCAGCGTGAAATTCTAAGACGATTTGTGTAAGTTTTTCCGTACGTCTGGGGTATTTACTCTAATTTTTGTAGGGATCGATCTAATAAAAATATATGTCATGATCATATTATGTCTGGAAGTTTTAGTGGACATTAAAATTAGATATATCGGTCTAAGGTTTCTCAAAGCTCTTTAACAAGTTGATGGAACCCGATTCTCCATTTTCAAACGAATTAGATATAATTAGGTATTTTTCTCCTTAAGTATATCAACTCGGTACAGCCCCCTATATAATGTCGCCGTTAGATATTTTGCGGGTTTGACCATATGCCCTTATTTAATAATTTGAGTCTCAACCCACTGCAAACAAATAGTTTTAAAATTAACCCACTTTTTGCTATAGCCCAATACAATTTGCTAGTGGCAGATTTAAAGTCCTCTGAAAGTTTTGATCTCAATGGCCGACGAATTTAGCTACTTTTTGACATTTATCATTTTCTTCATAAACTCTGTGTAAAAAACTCGATTCAAATTTTTAACAGAAGATCTCTATCATCTTTAAAAATGATCTTGCGTTGATGGAAAAATTGAGATGTACCAAGTATGAATGGAATCTGATGTTAATTTCGCGTTTTATGAGCTTCTGGGAGGTATGAGCTTCTGAGCTGGGGGAGGTACCAGAAGGAGTGGACCGATACATCGCATCTTCACACCAGACGTTGGGCTAATAAAAATCTTGTAATGTGTGTAATTTGAAGAGAACCGAATGCTTATTTCGGATTTTATGATAGCTTTGGTTATTCAAAATTTTGACCCTTTGTGGGGCAGGTACCAGAAGAAAGGGTCTGATCTGTATCATCTTTGAAACAAATCTTGTGTTGATGGAAAGCTTGAGATGTGCCAAGTTTGAATGGAATTGTATATTTATTTTGTGTTTCATGAGCTCCATGAATAGTAAAAATTTTGACACTTTGATTTTGTCCATTTTCTCACCTGACCTAGCAGTGACGCAAATATTAGGATGTGCAAAGTTGGAGAAAAATCGGACTATCCTTTCTCTTTCTGTGCAAAAAATATATTTTTTGAAAATTTCTACCTTTTGTGTGGAAGTTACCAGAAGGAGTGGACCGATATTGCCCATCTTCGGACTCGATCTAAGGTCGAAAATAATATTATGATGTGCCAAGTTTAGGCCAAATCAGATATTCTCTTCGAGAGTTATTGTGCGCACCAGCCAGCCAGCAAGCCAGACGGACGGACATCGCTAGATCGACTCCGGATGTCCTGAAACGAATTTGGTCCAAAGAGACCTAGATCTTTAAACCGTTATTTTGATGAGGCACGTTTTGGCAGCATCAAATGATATATACCTTCTCTAGCCGAATGGCTGTGGGTATAAAAAGCTCGAAATCGGCCTACAATTTTGTTCGGGTAAAACCAGATTGAGTATTTATAAGACATGCAATCAAAAATATTTTAAACGTTTGCATTCGGACGTATTATTGAAGTTTATTCAAATCCTATTCGTGGAGGACATGGTCTTTGAACAGGAGCAGTCGATGACTAATGCCAGAAAAAAAATCCTCCACTTTTACTCAAACAATTAATTTTCTGTCATAGGAAGTAGTACCCATTGGGGACTCCAAAATCCAATGATTCCTGTGGAAAATAAAGCTAGGCTCATCAAAAAACTGAATATAGGGGGGTTCTGTTATATGAGCGTTTTACGAAGACGGAGACCTTACCCTACAACAATATGTGTTAGGGGGTATTACAAGTTTGATTGGTTTCCCACATAGGAAAGTATATATGTATCATCCTATCTCGCCGAGCTGAGTCGATCTAGCTATGTATGTCCATCCGTCCGTCTGTCCGTCTATCCATTTTAATTTGTAATCACTCTACAGGTCGCAATTATGGCCCGATCTTCACGAAATTTAGAATGAAGGTGGGGCTTTCGCCAAAATAGAAGCCTTTTGGATACGACCGCATAATATTTAGGGGTTAAAATGGACCAAAAACTAAAAAATGTCTTGATTTTGCAGTTGCTCTACAGGTCACAATTATAGACCAATTGATACGGAAGTTAGCATGGGGCCAGAGTTTAGGGCTGGGCAGAAGCCTTCCAATTTTGATAGACATTGGGTAATATTTAGTGGGTGAAATAGACCATAGCATTTGTGTTAAATAAAAGTCAAGTTTTCCATTAAACCGTGATTATTTTCAATCCCGACGCCGAAAAGATCAATCATCAAAGTACCGAGAGGTACCGTTATATGGAGCTATACGTAGACGAGGACCTGCACAGATAAGTTTTTGTCTTAGGCTGTAGTATCCATTATGAGCTTCAAATGCCGAATTTGAAACATTTTCGTTGAATAATGTCGCTAAAATCATCAAAATACCGAATATCGGGAGGTGTCATTATATGAGGCCAAACCTAAACGTGGACCTATATGACCCATTTTTAATACCAAAAGTCCTGCAGACATAATACACATTTGAGTAACATTTTATCAATCTACTTCATTTCGTTCGGAAGCTATAGTGGTATCTAAGATTTATATTTCGAGGTGTTACAAACAAAATGACAAACTTAAAATGCCCTCCATACTATGGTGGAGGGTATAGAAATCCTGGAAAACCCTTTTTGGCCGGAATAGTATATTTCAAAAGGAATTTCAAGATAAGAATTGACGATGTTTTAAAGGATTTTCTAGAAAAGAACAGTATTTCCTAGGTAAGGGTCATGGATGTTTAAATTACATTCTAGCCTAAAATTGTGAATTTTCTAGTGTATTCTGTATTCTGATAAACAACGAGGATTTTTTAAAGCATCTTTCTAGAGAACTTTCTAAATAAGAATTGTTGATCTTTTAAATACTTTCGGGCTAAGAATTGAGTTTTTTAAAGGAATTTCTGACTAAGAATCGAGGATGGTTGGACTTTCTTGCTATGTTCTTTAATTTTAAAGATTTTTCCAGCTTAGAATCGCGGATTTTTTAAAGGATTAGCTGGCTAAGAAAGGTATTTCCAGGCAAAAGATCGAGCACTTTTGAAGTACGTTCTGGTCCCAGAATCGTGTATTTTTAAAGAACTTTCTGGACAAGAAACAAATTTTTAAGGGACAGAATTTTTCGAAGCTGTTTTCGTGAATAGTCGTTGATTATTTAAAGGACTTGATTTTTTAAAAGACTTTTGGCCTTTTGGTCTATATAGTCGAATTGTCTGAAGCAAGTTCTGGCTCAGAATCACAGAATTTGGTGAAAAGTCGTGGACTTTTTACTAGGCCTTCCTGGTCTTCCTGGAAAAAAATCTAAAATCTAAAAAATACAAGACGTACTTCTTCAAAAACAAGTAAAAAAGCTGTAAGTTCGGCCGGGCCGAACTTTTAATACCCTCCAACATTTGGTACAAATTTGGCAATTTCAAAAAAAAAAAAAATAATAATAATAATAATAAAATTCGTTAAAAATTCTGTTAAAATATTAAAAATACCGAATACATATACGACGACATGGACCTGCATTGGCAACTTTTGTCATAAGTTATCACAACATTTAAATGCGAAACTTGAAGTAAAATCTGTTTATAATGTAGCTAAAATCATCAAAATACCGAATATAGGGGGTACCTTTATATGGTGGCTATATGAAGACGTGGACCTACATGGCTCATTTTTTGACTTAGGATGTAGTATCCATTACGAACTTCAAATACCAAAGTTGAAACGATTCCGGCAAATAATGTCGCTAAAATCATCAAAATACCGAATATCGGGGGGTACCGTTATATGGTGGCTATATGAAGACGTGGACCTGCACAGATAATATTCTGCCTTAGGCGGTAGTATCCATTACGAACTTCAAATGCCAAATTTCAAACAGTTCCGTTAAATAATGTCGCTAAAATCATCAAAATACCGAATATCGGGAGGTACCGTTATATGGGGGCTATATGATAACTTGGACCTACATGGACCAGTTACGAACTTAACCTGCCTACTGGCAAAATATACACGTCTGCAAAAATTTAGCCTTCTTTCTCAATTTGTTCGAAAGATAGCGTGATTATAACAGACAGACGGACAGACAGACAGACACACAGACAGACAAACGGACATGGCTAAATCGTCTTAGAATTTTACGCTGATCAAGAATATATATACTTTGTTGGGTCTGACATGAGTATATCGAGGAGTTACAAACGGAATGTCAAAATTAATATACCCTCCATAGTATGGTGAAGGGTATAAAAATCGGTATTTTTAAAAAATGTTTTCTTCCAAAAATCGTTGATTTTTGAAGGTTGTTTAAAAGGTTTGAGAATTTTTTTCAAGG